GGCTGCTGCACTGGTTTATTGGAGCAGACGGGGCCGGCTCGGGGCTCAGCAGAAGCGCGGGCTGCAAAACGYGCCCGTCGGTCTCTCTCTTTCCCAGCAAGCGTTTGGGGAATGTTTTTAGAAAAAACAAAGCTATGCTGCAATTGACTTCTAAGGGCTTCTTTGGTTACACAGAGTAGCATACACAAATATCAGCAACTTGGGCTAGGTTTTCCTTGTATTTATACAATATCAGGAAGTAATTTAGTCTAACGTTAGCATTATGTCTCCCAAATGAATACGTATTTGTGTACCTTCAGAAGGCCTGACACTTACCTGGTGAATCAGAAAGTGATCCCCCACCTCACTGAGATTTTCACAGCCAAATAGCCAAATTCTTTTTTTTTTTTGGAGAGGGGGTTGGAAGGAGGGGTGTATGGTTTGTGACCTGGTAAGACAACGCTGGGCAAATGAAAAAAAACAAAAATAACAACAACAAAAAAAAAAGTGGTGCCTGGAAGTACAGTGGCATTTTAACTACCATTCTTCCTACCTCAAAATTATCTGCATACATTTCCAAGSCCTTTCAAAGACAAGTTAAACATTTGCCCTGAATCTGAGCAACCTTCACACCTTTCGGGTGGACAAACAACACGGTTTAACCTGTAGGGAGGATTTTCCAAGCTGGGGACTCCACTATCAGTTATATAAACAGATCTGTAACTTCTGTCAGCTTAGTTTCTGATACCATAATCTCAAGAAGCAGTGACAAGCAGCAGAAACTTGCTTTGAGTGAATCTGGTGGATTCTTCTTTGATYAGAGGTACCAAAGGAATGACACTGATACCTACATGGCAAAGGCGTGCTGTGTTTTGGAGAAGATAACCTGATGTAGGCTCTAACACTTAAAAATAACAGATCTGGTTCCTTGCATCTGCTCAACCTGCCACCCAGTGCAGACACGCCATGCAATAGCTCCCGGCAGTTTTTTCCTCTTTCTTTTCTTTGTATTTTGTCTTAAGACAAACAAAACCATAAAGCTACTGCAAGACTAAGGGCAGGAAAGAGGAGGCAATTGCTGCAGGTCTACCACAAAACAGGAAAAATTACAGAGCTGGAGTCCACAGGGAACTTGCTGTCTTTGCACCCGTGGATCACCAATGGGCAGATAACCAAAATCTGATTTATTTAATTCTTGCTGCTTCCTCGTGGGAACCAAACAGTAGATTATTGACTTAAGGGTGTTCTCCCAGTTACACCATAAACGTAGATAACAAACACAGTTTTATTGTGCTTCCTACATGAATGCAATGCTGAAGTTTGTCTGAGGTTTTATTCTTTCCTCCCACTTCCTCAAACRGCTGCGATCAGTCCCAAACCACCCATAGGGGGGCCAGAAAGCAGGAGTCTGCGTGAAGTCCAGCACAGCAGGACCTTGCTGGCCGGGAGAGGTGGCAGCAAGCTGTTACTCACGTTTGGAAAATACTCCCAATTTATTTTTACTGGGATTTTACCTGTCATTTTCCCAGTTTTAGAGCTTTGCAGCGTCAGAAAACTCTGCAGAATTGTGTGCACCAGAACCAGATGGAGAAAGTCAGGCTGGAGATGGGAAACTATCGTCTTGGAGCACCCGGACAGTCTGCGCCTGAGGTTTTGAGCAAGATGATACTTCCAGGCTTATCAGTCAAAGAAAGTCTTTGAACAAAGTTATCTCTACAAAGGTTTGGGCACAGTATTTTTGGTGGAGAAGAGGGGTATTCAAGAAAAGTCAAAGGTGCCAATTCTCCCTCCTAAYCTCTTCCTCTATACTGTAGGCAGGTTTTTAAAAATTCACTTTTTCCTCCATTTTCAACACTGTTCCCTATGCACACAATGATGTGCTGCTGTAGGCAGAAGGAGCCTCTTTTAAAGCTGCCATGRCCCACCCTGACCCACAGAGGAGATGCTCGTTTCCATCACGAAGGGCCCTCAGAGACCACCTGCAACCCCCTCCTGCCCAGCAGAGCAGCCTCCTGCTCCTCTGGGAGAAGCGAGAGGTGAGAGGAGGACGGCAACATGGAACGCACTGCTCCCTTATTCCTAGGAACTGGTATGGTGGGGGAAAAAGGACTTCATGCTGTGCCTGMAGCAACTAAACCCTCCCAAAACCCGTGCAGCAATCTCACACTGCACTAATTGATCCRGTTTTCCATCCCAGTACAATATCTAAATTGCAAAGATTTGCTTTTCTTGATTTCTCCCAATGTCCTGAGATAGCTTCATTTATAAATTCCTGTACTTTGTGTTCAGCTTTGCTTAGACCCACTCAGTAACTGGAGCTGCTGCTAATAATAGAAATGCTATCAGGCAATTGCAGCACCGATGCTACTGATTTGCCACAAGATGCTAACCTGGCATGCCTGCTCCTGCTTTCGCAAAGCGCCCGAGAGCTCCATCTAAATATCTGCATTAGACTCTCAGATTAACAGATAGATTCCAAAAATCTCCTTTTCTGCAACAAATCACATTACCCGTTGTTTGCTCATGCATAAAAATTATGTCAATAACCTTCTCCCTAAATGAGCATTTCATGATTTTTCACAAACTGTTGATTTTTGATGAAAAAAACAAAATCCATGTACAAAAGATGTTGCACTATTAAAACATATCCTGAAATCAAGATGACTCTGGGCTCTATCAGAGCATATTGTTCTTCATTGGCATTTACGTTATTAGAATTCTTATATATTGCCCTGGAAATCAGCTTTGAAGTGAAACCATGAATAAAGGAAGATTTATTGCTGCTAGCCTTATTAGAAGGATTTTAAAGTCATTAGAGACCAACAAGGCATAATAATCATATTATATTCAATCTTCTGTAGAACATCTCTTTTGATAGGCCTGCTAACTTGATTATTTAAATAAATATTTCAGTAGAATGCAAAGTTCCTACTAGCGCTTGGGACAAAACACCGATTTAAATATAAGGTGTTTTTTTGTTGTTTTCAGCAAACCATAACTTGTCCTCACAGAATTCATGGGTTTTGTCTTTGGTTTCCTACTTTTAAATGCCAGGGATTTGAATTCACAGGGAACATCTGTTCTCTTGGCTACGGTTTCCACGAGATATTCTGGTCGCTTCCCAGCAATAAGCCAGGAACATTCAGCAATTGAGGGCAACTGGACCTGGACAGGCGAAATCCATGAACTGCTGCAGTACTTTCAACTTTGGTTGACTCTGTGGATCCTCCCCTATCTCTGGGAAGTTGTTCCACCAAGATTTGTCATCCTCATTGAGGTCCTGGGTTCAAATCTAGCACGACTATGCCCTTTCCTGCTGGGGGCTGAATATCACAGCCTCCAGTATGGCACCAGCCTCCTCCTTGATGCACTGAAGGAGCAACACAACAGGCATGTTACAAGGAGATATGTTCAGGATTAATAACACTAAAGGTTAACAGAAAATAAAGTAGGAAGAATACTCTGAAATTTTGGATCTAAGTGATATCGGAAAAAAAAAAAACATTAGTCAGATGGATTCTGGGCTCACACAGGTTGCCTTTCAACAAATCACTTCAGATACAGAACCCAGTGGTTCCTGAAGTCTTTGCTAGAGAAAGATCAGTTGCCGAACCTGGACTTAAGAGCAGCAAACTGCACAACTGACTTAACAGCTGTGCCTGAAAACATGCCACTGCAGGTAGTATATTTTGGATATTGTTTCTGCTGTTTGGAAAGGCTGTCAGCACTCCCAGGAAAGCTAAACAAAACCACGGATAGCACTCCAGCACTGAAAGCAGTCACTCTCTAAAATCCCTTCAGTCGTCATGATCCTTTGCCTCCAGAAGTTACTTCACATTTCTTGGTGTTAAAGTTAAGATCTTTGGCCAGAATCATGCAGTTTAAAAGAAAAAAACATACCACCAAAACTGCCCCCCTGTTAAATGCCAGCTAATGTACTAACATATAAGCTCAAATTCCCTGCATAAACTAACAGAGCTTCTTGTTCATGACTGCACTTACAGTCTGCTTTAAATAACACACTGAATCACAGTTCCTAAAACAACATCTCGCTGGCTGGTAAAGGACCACGCAGGGGAGAAGAAGCCAGCGCTCAGCCTGTGGTTTGTGGACCAGCTCTGTGCTCTTTAGAGCATTCCCAGTGCTCTTACTTTGGGATCCACGGCGGGGAGCAACCATGCCCACAGATGGGCTGGAAAAGCAAAACAGCTCCCCTTAATCCAGAGCAAGGATTTCTTTTTGTGCTGCTAGATGTGTCATTCCTTGTTCTGCACAAACAATCCCTATAAAAAACACCAGAGAAGAAATGCTTGGCACCCTTGGCAGTGATGCACCTATTTTAGGAATAATGAATCCAAGCAGGCTGCGAAACGGCACCAGTTTATTTCTTTGYAGTAATGAGTTTTCAGATAAATGTCTCAGCAGAACTAGAAATCTCAAAGATTTCCAGAATCTGGAAAAGTAATAATGAGGCTGACGTTATGTTTTACACGCCACCTTACCTTTCTTGGTGCACAAGCTTCTGCACTCAGGTCCTGCCTACAGGCCATCCTTCCCATGCAACAGAACTAATGTTTTTATACCAGAGTATCCCAATATCATCAGATCACTAAGCATTCCAAAACTAACGTTTTATTGCTTTATAGGACAATAGGATTAAGGAATTTCTTTTCTTACTAAATAGAATTTATTTTCTTTTTAAAAAAAGTCAGTTATTTTGGTTCCTACTGACAAATACAGATACAAATACGAGGGGCTTAGTGTTATTGGTCGTTTTTTGAACTGTTTTAAGATATGAAGAGCTAAAGCCAGTGTAAGATAATTTTTCCATTCCACATCTCACCCAGACCTCTATTTCAGCTGTCCTGATGCTATATTTTAGTGGGGGGGCAACTGCACTATTGCAAGGATTTAATTTCAGGTTCAGCCCCTTTTATTTTTTGTGAAAGGTTAAGACTCCCCAAAACACCTTGCAGGACATTCACGCCATCCAACACAGATCAGGATCCCGCACCACTTACCCCCAAACACATCTCCGTTCTGGTAGTTTTTGCCTTTCTGAGTTTCCTCTTCGTTTTGAACAGTAGAAACATGCTTGGCTGACGCGCAGCCCATCGCTTCATTCAGACAGCGCCAGCCGGGCCCAACCGCAAACCATGTCTAGAGCTGCACGCTCATCGTCCTTCCAATAATCCACCTTCCTGCTGTGCTGTCAAGAGCTCTCACCTAAAGACAGCAGGAAAGAGGGAGAGAAAAATATTTAACTGCATGTGTTGACCAAAAGGAACCTCTAAACACAGCACATTGGCAAGGCATGGGATGGGCACACGCTGTTGCCATCATTTTACATTTTCAGAAATAATTGAGTGAGCATCAATCCGGGATGATGCCTGCCTTGGCACTGGAGCGCAGCTGTCAAACTTCAAGTCTACCCTTTTGTCTGGAGGAAGCAGCACATGCACATCCACTTGCCACCAAAAAAAAACAATAAGAAATCAACAATATCCACCTCTCTTGCTCCATTTAATGGTTTGCCCATCATGCCAGAACTCTTACTAAGCGTTTTAGTGATTAAGAGCTGCCAATTGCAAGTGTTCAGACAAAATAAAATCAATGAAAGATCTTATGTTGATAGATGGGAAAGAGGATAATGAGCAGCATTTTTCTTTTCCTTTTTGTTCATCACTCTGTTGGATCCAAAAGCCCTTCACCACTCCAGAAGGCAATTATCCACCTTCTGAGATGGACTAAAGCTCCCTAAATCACACAGTGTCACAGAACAGGTGAGCTTTTCCCTCCCAGCCAAACCCCTACGTGCATTTTGAATAATATTCAGTACTTTGCCCCATACGCTTTTGCCTTTTTCCATCACATATMTGGCCACTTAGGCCTAAATTTTTGATTTTTCCATCCCTTGCCAGCTCCAGCTACTCACCCATAAAATGGTGAATTTTGACATTCTCAATGGGTGCTAGTGCTGTCAGCGGCAGGGAGAGCACAAGCCCCTTCTAAAGCTGTCCTCCTCCTGCAGAAGTGCTACACCCACCGAGCCCCCCCAAAACTTCCCTCTCGGCATGTGCAAGCAGCCTGTGAGCTAAGCAGGCCATTCAAGCTACACTGCCATGCACTGCAGCTAGGAGGATGCACTCATTTTACTCAAACTGTATTAGTTGATCTTATGGTTTTGCGGAACGCTGATAATCACAACTGACAACATTTTGCCTCCAAACATGTCCAAATAGTGTGACAGCCCGAATTAAGATAAAAGGTCTCTCTCTCGCTATCAAGGGGCGAAAAGGAACATCCGCAAAGCTTGGAAGCATTAGCCACGCTTTGCTTCTACAGGACACAGTGGAGATGCTCTGAGGCACGGGGAGTGCAGGAGAAATAGCAGAGCAGGAAGGGGAACAGTAAGTGGGCTGTAAAGGAGGTGTGTGCAATGCTAATTTTCTTTAAGGATGTAAATTTGCTTAAGGATTATAGCTTTTAATAGACCAGTGAACAGTGTTGATGGCACAAATGATCATGTTTTTAGTCTTGGAATCCTCCTTTCACGCTTTGAATAAAAGCAACAACCTCAAGGGAAACTTCTCCTCAATTAGAGAGCCCAAGGGAAAAGGAAACAGCCATCACGACCTTGTCTCCACACAAGGAGGTMCAAGGGAGGACAACCAACCACCACACCAAACAAAATGCTTTGCTTTAACCACTGATTAGCAACCCTCAATAGCTAGGAGAGGAGGAAGGTGATGGCCCTGTCCTTCATGACATTGCTCCATTGCTGCTGGAGAAGCAACCTAGGGCAGAACAAAAATACAAAAGCATACAGCTCTTTCTTAGGGAAAAAAAAACACATGCAAAATCACTCTGGGCTTAAAGGAAAGGTGGAGAAATACAAAAGATAATACTTTCCATTTGGGTATTACAAAAACTGTGATCACAACAAAACTACAAATAGTTAATACTTGCAGAGTTTAAGTAAGTATTCCCAGTGCCAACAAATCAGGCTACCAAAGCTTCTCCAAACTGATCCTGGAGGTTAGTCCACCACCACRTAATGTCAGGGGCAGGAAACCCTTCTTGCCTTGGATCACAGCAGCCCACTGTGACAAGACTGGGATATTTTTCCGAAATGCATCCCAAAGCAGCCCCTCGCTCCCTGGGATGCCGCACAGCATACGGGAGACACGATGTGAGGTGCTTCAGATGCAAGCAGCGCAACGTGACCGTTCCCGCCTCCTCCCCCACTTTTTTCCACAAATATCATCTTCCCTTTTGTCTTCCCAAGCATTTGGGGGGAGAGGGGCATATTGATTTCAGAAGCCAAAAATAAAAGGAATAAGAAAACCTCAACCCATTTGCAGCTCCTGTTCGCCACCCACCATCATTAATTATCGAGATTTGAGAGGCAATTTGCAAGCTCCAATCTGCAAAATGCTAGTGAGAAAAACCTCTCAGGCAGATCAAACAGCATTTACGCCACCCCCAAATAAAACATGGCAGCTGAGATGAACATCTTATGCGTAGGTCAACAGGAAAAAAAAAAAAAAAAAAAAAAAAAAAAAAAAAAAAAAAAAAAAAAAAAAGYACATACCCTGTGTTAGATGGAATACCTCTTATCCCCAGGTTTCTTAAGAGAAGATTCAGAAAAGGGAGCTCAGTTATGAGAATAGTTTGCCACTCTCCACCTTCAGTTCCCTTTTTTTTTCCTCCTTTTGGAGCATATCCAGCCTTTTTTCTTCTACCAGCTCCTTGACACTTCATTAATTCACTCTTCGTCTTCTCACTCCCCTTTTCCAGCCCCTCCAAGCCATGTACACGCTGCATCCTCAACAAAACCTTTTTGCTTCCACAGTTGTTAAACCAACCCCTATCATCAAACAGAGGAGAATCCTGGGCCTCACCACAAATAAACATGGGTTCTTCTTCCACTGTGGGTGGAAGATTCATTTTTATTGCACTGAGATAACCATTTTCTCATCTTGTTGGGGCTGCACATACACCTAAAATTTCCTTCYGCATTGACCGCATAGGAAATCAGGTTACATTTCACAAAGCTAGAGAGATCAAAGCAACAAACTTTACAAAGCTATAGGGGGAAAAAAAAAAATCTAAGAAAAATGACATGGACCTTTCCCATAATGCATCCTAGTCTGGGCAGAACCCAAGGATTTCACTTACTGCTGGCAATTATATTTATTTCCTAAAAGAAACAGGCCTGTTTGGCTTTCATCTGATTTTTTTTTCCACAAGAAGGAAGGTTATAGATTTGTACTGCACAAAGGACCTCAAACGCGTGCACATGGGAGTTCCCCACCTATAATATCCTCACTACTCTCTCTTCCTCACTTATCCTTGGTTATCTGTGCCAGAAAAGCCAGGATTTCATTCTTACAGTGACAAACCAGGATTTTGGAGCCAGAAAATTCAAAGACACRGTGTCATTATTCATTTGAAAACAAAAAGGAGCGGCACAAGGGCACATGGAAAGACCGGAGYGAGCAGTGACACTCTGCACGTATGAATGCTTAGGCAAAACGCTTTTATACATCCTGTTTATGCTCCTAGTCAGGAAATTAGCGCTTCTCTCCTTTCTAGGAAATGTTTGCCTCCATGATGGAAAATTCCTGTATTTATTGCCACGTTGCAGCATCCTCTTGGAAACACGCTGCGGAGTCCAGCTAGGTGAACACAGCAGTACAATCACCTTGCTAAAGTGCCAAGAACCAGCGCGCTGYTATAAAAGCGGTACCGCCTTTTCCCCAGGCTGCACTCAAATGCCACCACACTCAACAAGCCCGAGTCACCAGGAGGTTGGTGGAAATGCTATTTGAGACTTCATTTGCATAGCTGCTCTCCTGTGAAATGATATTTTCGACACATTTTGAAGAACATACAGGAACATCATGATTTGAAAGCTGAAGAGAACAGCTAGGGAACGACAGGAGCTCCTCTACCTCCCTCTTCCTGCCCTGCCTGGAGCTGGTGCTAATGGTGCTGTTGGGTTATTTGCTCTATTTTAGGACAGGCTTGGCACCGCTGCCCCTTCAAGCTCATCTTACCTTTTTTTTTTTTTAAGAGTAAAATGATCCTCTCATTTTCTTAGTCAGGGTTTCTACAATACTGGCTTTCTGACCTATTAAAGCATCAAATAATTTCCCAACAGAATGGCTCTCAGCAGCAGGATATATCCAGTGAGGATCTCCTGATCTATTCCGTAAGAGCTGGCAATTCCCTGGCATGATATCTCATGTAGCGTACAGAAAAATAAAGTGAGAAAGAGAAGGTGGATTGCGATGCAATCTCAGTTTACCTCAGGTGATGTTAAAATAATGCTAGCGTGGAAAGTCCAGCGACCAAAACCTACAAGCAAGAAATGTGAGCCACAGGACCAGACGCTTTTGTTCTTCCCAAAGAAAGTTATTTGAGCTTTTTAAAATARAAAAGAATAACATTCAAATACCTTAAGTATAGTGACAGGAAGCCTCTCATTACAGCATGCAATTTAAGTATCTAGTTAAGAACTTYTCTTCTTGAAGAATTAATAGGCAAATATTGAAGACAGACAAGACTGCACAATTATGGGTTGGCAATAATGCAACTTTTTCTTTGCACACAGAGGAAACTTGCATAGGAGATTATGTGTTTTCCAGTGCAAAATTTTCATGCAATATGCACTTCTGTTTCCTCACTCAGATCAGTATTGGTGCTACTCCTTCTCCCCACCACAGCAGGCATTGCCGCTCTACCAGCATTTGAAAAGAAACAGGCTGTTTATCCTACAATTTTTCCCTTCACAGAAAATAGGCTTTTCATTAAAAATAAAAGATTGCACAAAAATAAGCTAGGCACATTTTCAGCATCTCCTRCTTCTGCGTGAGCTATTGCTACAGCTGCTAGAAGCATATTAGGGAAATGCAGCAGAGAGGTTCCTACAAGATAAAATAAGTGTTTACACACACCGTTTACTATCAAACTCATTTAAGATTAACCTGTGTTTCAGAGGCAGTGGATGACTGGATGATCTCCCAGTACTTTGCTCCATGCTATGGGCAGAGCTGGATGACTGCCCTTACTGATCTCAAGTCCATAGGTACATCTCTGTAGGCATCCAGGTCTAACCCCTTGTACCTCCTGCAATCCTGGCCTCAMGGAGCACAGGCTCTGCTGGTGAGCCTGCCACAGCTAAATCAGGTGCTGGGCAGCGCAACAGGACATTGGCCTGCAGAAAAAACAGTTTTTTCCTTTCAATGAGTCTTSTGTTGATGTAAGAAGCACCTCCTCCGCTTCCTGCAGTGAATAGGGTGCCCAAGCACCACGATGGTGTAAGAAAAACCAACAATGAGCTCATTTCTCCTATTAAATTTTATTTCTATCTTCATGGTTTAAGAGCAAGATAACATTTTATTGAGCAAGCAGAAGAATAAGTGGCCCCAAGGTACAGGAGCAGTGATCTACTCAGTGTTTTGCAGCAATTCAACTTATGCTTTTGAACATTTGGCTGAGCATGATCTCTCCATTTTACAACACATTCCCTTGTTTTGACTCGCTAAAGATAATTTAAGGCAGAAAACATTACACCTAGCCAGTCATACCATTTAGAATTAGTCGAAAAGGAAATGTAGTAACTGCAGCAGTGTCACCAACACAAATGTGTTTGCTTTASAGAATAGCTCAGAGAGATAATTACAGCACTGGGAAAAGGCCATTTCCTCCTCCTAAATTTCTTAGGTATCTCTTCCCAACAGCAAGCGCAGCTGCACCTCTCCACTGTGAGCTCCAGCTCTGGCCTGGAACAGAGCTCTGCCAGGACTGCCCCTTCTCCCAAAGTAGTAGCCCACCAAGTCTCCTACACAACTGAGCACACAAAAACAACATGCCTTTGTTTCCCGATTTCAGCAATGGAAAACAGCAACTATCCAACATGCACGGATATACAAAGGGGTTTAGACTTGGCAGTCTAATCTTGATTCTTTGTTCTTGTAGGCTTTTATTTCCTTTCAGAAACTACATCTTGTTCTCCCTCATGTGCTACTGTTATCACAACGAGGTATTTCTGCTAGATGCCTCCAGATGTGCACATACAACCTTGCCTCTCTGGGCATGGCAGCGATTCATAACTTCCAAAACATGTAGGCAGTAGATGCCTTGAATATAGGCTCTTCGGTTATGTTACACATTTCCAGAATCCATCCAGAGACCCTTCCTTACTTCCTGGTAACTTTGGCAAACCAGAGCATTTGGCAGAGGAAGCAGCTGCAAGGAGAGCTCCTGGACCTCTCCGGAGCGGTGTGGAGCCCAGGATCTGCCTCCAGCTGCCTCCAACGCATTCCTCATTCGGCTGCAGCAGCAGCTACTTCATATGCCACTTGGGTTAAAATTAAAACAAAACAACTGAGCTCTGAAAAAGCCAAGGGGAGTGAGATACCAGGGGACCTGCTGCTAACGTGTCAGCAAGGAAGCATTTGCCATATGCACCTCTGTTGTTTCTGGGCAATTTAAGCAGAAAGAAAAAAAGCAACAACAATAAAAAAAGCKATCAGTTTAAAGGAGCCTCTTTTCTAGAAGGGCTAGAGAAAGAGTTTTCTTTTGCCAACCTGACATCACTTAAACTACGGAATAAGTGCATAGACGTGGCTTAAAGACACGGAAGCTGGCTCTTCAGGTCAAGCAGGACGTGTAAACTCCCTGACGTGTCTATGCCAAAAAAACAGCTACCTTCTGTTTAAAGTTAGCTAAAAGCCAGCACAGCAACTCATCTAACTCAAACACTTCCTAGCGGAGGCGAACTTCTCTATAGTTTTCAGTAGTTCTCTGGGGAATTTTCCTGACGCAGTCATTTCCCAATAGCAATCAACCATGAATGAGAGAGTCACAGGCCAAGAGCCTGCTTCCCCCCCAACTATGCTCATGACTGTTCCCCCAGAGTTAATGGGTTTATTCTCCAAGATCGAAGAGAAATCAAGCTTTGAGGTGCTGATGGCCACAGCAGCCAAATGTTAGCGTTGATATGGTTTGTTCCACAAGCTCTACACAGTGTCCAAGCAGATCGGTACTGTAGCCTACTGCTCCTCCTCAGGAGTCTGCATTTGGAGGGAAAGCATGAAAGAAGGATCTGTTCAGGAACAGGGAAGGTTCAGAAACTTATAACCAAGTTAAAAGGCTGCTAAAAAAAACTGCTCAGAGGAGCTGAGCAGTTGAATGAAAAAACACCATCTCACCAGAAGTGTAAAACCCTCTTGTGATCCATCCCCTTCTTTGAAAAGGAGGGTGCATCAMCCCATGCAGTGCTTTGATGGAGCTACTTTCAGCCATGCTGTCTGAGGGCTCAGCACTTGCAAAAATACTTGCCTATTCAACTCAAAAACCTATTTCTTTTCTGCATTTTAAGTTTTGCAATATCCTAAGTTACTTTTTAATYGTTTCCATGAATGTTGTACCAATATAGCAAAAAACGCAGAATTTTCCTTTCAGCGGATACAGGTCTGAGCAGGATGTGTGCCTAAGTGAGCCTGGACACTTCAAGAAGAAGATCTAAATCAAATTCTTTTGAGCGGTATAAACAATTTCCAGGCATCAGTTACATTTACTTAAAACAGACACTATACAGAATTACACTTACAGAGCAGTGTTTGTTACAGAAAGATATGGAAAGCAATTCCTAGGGCCCAGAACCACCGAAAAGCTTTCCAATCACTGCTCCCAATTCCCTCCAGCACAACTCATCCAAGGAGGAGTAGTGGGTCACGCATCAGTCTATCCATGGCACCATGCTGCAGTTTCCAAAGTCTAGGAGATGAACTGCTGGCTCGAGGTCCTGGAGCTGTGAAACAAGTCTAATGGAGCATGTACTGCAGGAACACGTTGGAAGAAATCATCCTGAAAGAGAAGGGCAAAGGAAACTTTCCCCCACATCCTCTCCACTCCAGAGCTGTGGGAATAGAGCAGAAACATATAAGGAATGACTGCAGTAGGCTCCAAATACCATTAAATGCAGTCAGTTGCAACTAAAGCTTATTAGKACTTTCTGAGGGAACAGTGTTGCCAGAACAAGACCAACAGCTACAGGATGATACCTCTTGGTGGATAATTCATGCCAACATTTTCCAGCTTGGACATTCACATGCCAGAGTGCAGAGCTCTGCTGAGTGCAGAAATCGCTCATCCAAGAAAGGAAAATGATGGAGAGGAAAGCCATGGCAATGCTGTTTGATTTAGAAGAGAGGAATAAAATAGGAAGAAAACAGAAACATGAACTACCAAAAAAAAGCAAATAATTGGAAGCACAAGAATAGAGAGGACACAGATGTTATCTGRCTGGTGTTATGGAAGTGCACGCAAGTGAAGGTCCCAGCCCACCTCTCATTCACGCCTGGGGCGGCAGACACTATCTGCAGACACACGAAAATCTCACCTACGGTGCGATTTTCAGTATCTTGATACCAGAGAGACAACCCTGATTCAGCGGTGTTTTCCAGTTGCTTTGCACTACATCAGCAGCTCCAGAGAAAAATCCTTTGTGATGGCAGCACCAAACCCAACCCTTTAGTACCTATTTTGTCTCCACTTCTATTCTGGCAGTACTAAGTTCTCTTTAYGACTGCTTTATTATTCAACAGCTCCCATACTGCTCCTTTTCCTACTCAAGTACCTGATCATCAGGGCCCAGAATGTATTTTAATATRTAGTGCAATTGCCAGAAAGTGCCAAGAGACAGCATGTCCTCTCCATGCCACCCACAGAAGCAACCAAGAATGGTAAAACTCACCTCAGCAGCTGCCACCTCCAAACTAACTCCAAAGAACGGGGGAAAGAAAGGATTTTGGTTTTTAATAACCCACCTACAAGGCAGCCTTGCAGCCCTACACATTGCTTTATGTTATCCCATCTCCTTTCATAGAGTCCCACCTCAAAGCATCAAGCACATTTAAAGCTTTTAGAAGTTGCATGACATTGATTCGATTTTATGTCTTTGTCTGACCTTCATTCTTGCACATTACCTTACCTGCAGCAGGAATTAAGAGCAGCTCATCAAGCTGAGTCAGGCCAGGAGACCATCGCAAGGGCCAGCACAAGGCTCCGGGTGACGACGGCCCTTGGAGGCGGCTGAGTCCGGAGCCGCACACCCCGCCAGCCAACAGCTGTAAGATGTTAGGAGCTTCAGCCCCTTTACTCCCACTCGTAGCTATTTGCACAGGAAAAGAGCAGCTGCTTTCCTGAGAGTAAATTTTGCAGCATCTTTAGAGCCTCTCTCTCCCCTTTTTAGCTTCAAGTGCAAGAAGGATTTCTTTTTAAAATTAGAAAGAGAGAAAAAAAATACAAGTTCGTGAATCCTAACAGCAGGCTGGCTCTCTTAGACATGCTTTCATTATGCTGGGAAAGCAATGGCAAACACAATGAACACATTGAATTCATAGTTTAGAAAAAACAAAACAAACAAAACTATGAATGTCAGCACGCATCCAAAATCTAGTGCTCGAACTGGAGGACGAGTTCACCAAACGCAGGTACGAGGGCACTCCCATCCTAGCGCTACAGGAGCGGCTCTGTCCCGGGGCTGGAGCTGGCAGGAAGTCCAGCACTCATCCAGAATGTGGAAAGCTCCTTTTGGGAAACTGCAAGAGCGAGTCGGATGGTGGGACAGGCAAATCTTGCCCAGAGACATCATCCCACATCCCAACTTATAATTGTGCTGTACACCAAACTTGGGCAAAAGCACCGCAAAATTTGGGGAACTTTCTTTTATTTAAGAGCCCACAGAGCCCATCTTCCCATCGTTTCAGGAGCGCAGCGTAGGGCTGCTGCCCTCCTCGCGGGCACACAAAGGCTGATGCTCTGGCTGAGGGAGCAGCCCGAGCTGCCTTGACGCTGTCTGCCAGCARTAACATCTCCCAGGGCCCAACCTACAGGAACCAGACTCAGCTTCTTCCCATGAAGCAATGTAAGAGCAAACGCTGGCGTCATTTATAACGCCTGTAAATTATACAGCGCCAGACAACTGATAAACGTAGCATGAAAATCAGTTTCGAGAGCAAGATGCCCCAAAAGGCCATATATTTTCCAGCGATTTTTCAGCAGCAGTACTGTGTTTTTCCACCACCTTATCAGAGGCAGACTGTGCACTAAATTACAACACCGTGGCCAAGCACTTACAAATCGCTATTTTAAAATGCACTATTTAAAGGTGCCTACGTTTCACCACAAAGACGTCACTGGGATAGAGCTGTCAAGAAAGCATCCACAGGATATATGATCTATAGGATAGCATCCTCTTTACGTTTTTGAAAAACACCATAAATAATAAAAAAAGAAAAAAATCAGAAAGTCTGCACATTCTGTCTGGAAGTTGTTTTATCTTCCTTTCTAATGCAAYGCTGCCTTCCCCTGCTCCTTGGCTGTGTGCTAAGGCTTTACGCTCTCCTATTTATAGCAGCAGCCCTGCAAGAGGCTTTTCGAAATGCCAATGAGCATCGCAGCGCGGCGAGCACCGCAGAGCCCGCGCGGCTCCCGCAGGCCCCGGCGCCGCATCCRCAGGCCGAGCGCGCTCGCCTCAGAGAGGGCAAAAAAAGGAGGAAAAAACTACACGTGTGTCACCTGGAAAGCTGTTTTCATAACTAGCCATTACTTTTTATTTTTTATRGAGGAAGCAAGCAAAAGCAAAGCAACTACACAGCACAAGGAAGCTCTCAGTGTGGCATGCAGGCAATTTTCAGACTATGGAGACAGATTTCTGAGATTTGAATATATACAAAAAAAGACCTTGAATTCAGCTGCTGGCATGAAGAGGTGCTGTGCATGCAGTGCACCGTGCTTGGTCACTAGGAAAGCAGGGACTTGGGAGCAKAGGGCTGGTACCACACGCAGAGCATCACCTCCTTGCGGGGAGTCGAGCCCTCTCGCCAGCCCTCGGTGAACAGGGAAAGCTGAGAAATGCAGTGGCAATGAGGGAAAAAGGGGAAAAGCTGCTTAGCAGCTATACGCTCTGACAGCTGGGCTGGGTGAAAGGGCAGGAGGACTGACCCAGGCGCTACTCACAGCCATCATCATCTCAAAAGCAGTGCTTCCAAAAAAGAAACAGATCAAATTATGACACTAGCCAAGATGCAAAACCTGATGCCACAATTGCTAAGGTGTTGGCTGGATGGTGCACACAYGGGAATGCAGGCTATGACGGCACCAGCTTGCCTTCTAGGGTCTTTTTAGGCAATAACGGGAGCTTATTTGGACCTCTGAATTCCAAGGACAGGGTGATAAAACCAAGTTAAATTTTGCTGTGAGAAATAACATAGACTTTTATTTCCCACAGGACTCAAAGCTGAGTTATCAATGTCTCCCCGTACTTTGGGCAATGTACTTGCACTGGTGCAAACCCTCCCCGAAGAGGAACGCAATATAAGGGAGTTACATGATCTAAACAAGCCCTTTATAGCTATACCAGTAAGCCAGTAAGATCACTACTGTTACCAACACATGGCCCCAATAACTTGTCACCCCCAGTGCAGCTGGTTATTCTGCTGGCAACAGGGTCCAGACTTTGTGCTCTCAGCATTTTCTGCCCCCAGTTTGCAAGAATACCAGCTGCTCAGCTAATAGCAGACACATCTGACAGTGACACATACTAGGGAGCAGGGCTGTATGTGGTGACCATCCACACATGTCTCATTCACACACACAAGCAGACACCTGGTCTGGCTCCCAGCAGGCTCCACCACCACACGAGAACCCAGCAGTTGACRCTGCAGAGCCCTCCGCTACTTCCAGGAGATCCTCCTTAAGCCCCAGCACCATTTCACAGCGAGTTGGAGTGGTGAACACCCTTGGAAGAGCTGTCATGAGGCGGCATAATAACAGGTGAGTTCTTGCACATTATTCCTTGCTCCTGATTGCTAGCAAAAAAATCCCCAACGYCCTGTTGCTGTGATGCATGATTAGTAGAGGTGGTGCTATGATTCCTCCCCCCCTTTTTTTCTGCATTTTCCTGTTATTTAAAAAAAAAAAACTCTGTAGGATAAGGAATGACAGTGGGAAGAGCCAGGCCCACCTTTTGACACATGCACATAGGCAAGCTCCTTACACCACATTATCCACAACCATTCAGGTGGGTTTTCAAAAAACAAGGGAAAACTTTTGTTCGTTTGTTTTAATAGAAACATTCCAAGTCTTAAGACTTATGCCTTTTTTTTTTTTTTTCCTCCTCTCTTCTCCCTCCCCTCTCGGTATCAAACAGCAGTGAGGAGCCTCAGCTGAGCTTGGATGTTTTGGGTCAGTGAAATCACAGCAATATTCCAAATGCCAAACAGAGAAATAGCTGTGTGCCATTAGGATTGCGCTTACCACGCCATTTTCCCATCAGATTAAAAAGAAAAAGTATCATTAAGGCATTTAGCACAGCTTGCTGAGCAGTGGATTCAAGYGACATTTCTTGCAACAGAGCAAGTCTCTCTGGTTGCAACCACTAATCACAAGGGGTTTTAATTAAGGTACAGTTGTGCAAGAGCCTTGGTTTGCTCTCTGCTAGCAAGAGCAGCATCTTCCACGCTTGGGTGTGCAGCCTGGCACTGCTTGGAAACACCTCCCTTTAATTAAAAGCCCAGCGTGCTTGTTGTTCATTGACAACACACTCATTATGCAACGCAAAACGAGGCAAGCGATGGGCACGCGCTGCAAAACCTGGAGCACCGGAAATCAGAGAAACGTCCTCCCGAAGCCAGCCTGAGGGAAATGCACATCACGAGACACCAGCCAAGCCAGGCTTACCCATTCCAGGTTAAGCTGGGGCAAATTTTTCCTACGAAACACTGTATTGTGCAAAATCACCTCTGTTCCTTTCTGTATGAAAGGAGGGAGAAACACAGCCTTGGTACAAGCTGGTTCTCCTAACAGCTACAAGGAGGATTGTCATTAAAACAACTCCACCTGGATGTCAGGATTCTCCGTAGGGATTGTTTTTGCTGGATTCCCCTCAGGGGATTTACACAGACATTTGTCAACTCTCAGGGATATTGTGGCTTTTGCTCCACCAGATCTCAAGCGCAGGTTGCTCCGGGGGATGCAAACACTTGTGGGACAGCAAACGGGGTGCAAAGCAGGAGACTTGCACAGCAAGTACAAAGACAAAACTCAGCGTTCACTTTTACATTASCTAAAAATGTCTCCAATGAATCACAGAAAATAAAGAAAAATGATGCCTTCACCCGTGAGCATGCAATCTCACCCTCAGGGCACAAGATGCTTCACCTCGCAACACTACCAGAGCATCTCCTTGACTAGCACAGGCTCCATAATTGCTCTACCCCAAATCCTSTACCCCTGGAAAACTGCTTCAGCTCTTAGCATGGCCTGGCTCACCAAGCAGACAGACTCCTACCAACTAGAGCAAGTAGGTAACCAAAGGGCTGTCCTCCAAAGGCAGGACTGAAGTCCAAACCATGCAGTCCACACTGCGCAGCTCCCTGCAAACCAGCCCGCAGACCTGGGTGCTCTGGGCACCGCTAGGAGCCACCCCGCTCCTCTGTATCTCTTCCTCTGCAAACACATGGTGCTCAATACATCCCTAGCAGCCAAAAACTCCCCATACACCATGCAAAAATGGAAATCTCCACTAATCCCAGGGATCAAAAAGAAGCTTAAAGTTTTAGGGATTTGGCTATTTTTGGAATGATTTCCTTACAGGAYTGTATTTATGTTAGACTTTCTCAGGGATAGCTTTCTTTAATAGCATTTTAAAATTTCTGACACTAAGTTTGCTGCATTTGAAGTCTGATGCCTTTATATAATCACCTAATGGACAAAAAGAGAAAAATATATAATGTTTCAAGTGTGTAAATACAGTTATTACATTTAAGGCAAAGCTGGTGCTGGTTCTCCAGGAAGAGCTCATAGTTCTTGCACAATCCCAAGTGCACRTGCAGGGGAAGAAGTGGAAAGCAGTGTCCAGGTCTGAACACTATTGTGGTGCACACAGCAAGAAGTTTAGCAGACCAAGTACCAGCTACTTAACATGTCACCTAACAAAATGATCCCTACCAGGCATCGTGGTGCTGCGGGTTATTCATTGCAAATAATCCTTGTAGAAATACAAAAAGGAAGTTTTCTAAAAAATTATATCTACACACATATACATGATATAACCTAGAATCTATAAACACCCATCACTGTACTTTTACTCACACGATTCACAAAGATTATGCCAGTTTTCTGCCTCAACCAAAACCTTACTACTAGAGCAAATCTGTGTCTGAGTAAGTCCTATCTAATACTGAGGCATGCTTTCCAACAGCCTCTCTTACCATTACATCCTGTAGCACTTCCTTCCTCAGAGGAAATATTTTAATTTTCAAAAGTCAAACCCACTCAACGAAAAGGCACCCTATCAGAAAAACACTTGCATAAACTATTCTATTGGATTATATATATTTATATATGTCTGCCCCAATTATTTAAACAATCAGTTTAGTTTCTTATGCAACAGACAAGGTACTCTTCAATATTTGGAAAGATCATGGTCCAATACATTTCTGTTATTTTACTGCTAGAGAAATAATGAATTTTGGAAGCAAATGAAGGTATTTTTGGGAAACCACTCATGCCCTTACTACCGACAGGGCATTTGTATTTAGCCCACAGCACAGAAATCAATGAGTAAAACCAGCAGCAGGCCAGACAGGCGTGTTTCAAGATGTACGTGATTATAATTCAGCAGCATTAAAAGGCGAGTGTGGGGAGGAAAAGAAATGCAATTCTGAGTCTRTGGACTGCTTCTTACCTAACTCTAGATACTATTGGGGTGCTTTACTACTACTTTTAAAAGGACACAACAGGACACCTGCTTTGCAAGTAAAGGGAGGAAGGTGCTTCCTTAAAGGATACGTATTTTAATTCTCGCTTCCAGGCAATGCCCAAAATCAAAGGGGTGCTTTGGTAGGCTGATCACAAAAAAACAACAAMAAAAAAAGCAAAAAAGCAGCAATAGAGAGAGGAAAAGCAACTGTCACAGCTGTCACATATACATAGTAAGAGTAGATCTACCTTGCAGCCCGGGCTTTGCCTTTCTAACTCCTTGCTTGCACGTTAGGTGCTGGCCTCCTTCTTCCTCTCTGTGAAGGATGCTCCTGCACGACAAAAAGCAACAAGTAAACATTTCAGGACTTAGAAAAGAGCAAAATTATTTGTCTGCTGCTTTCCTGAGCACAGAAACAGCTTCTCCCTCCTACCACATGAAAAACAAACAAACAAGAAGGGAATGGTTTGAGGAAGGAGCTGGAGCCGCCTCAGTTTGATCCGCGCAGCGATGGATGCTGCACGTGACAGCACGACCGGCGTCTGCGTAAAACGTGAAAGAACAGGGCACAGGGCAGCGTGCACCAACCTCTCAGCTTTGCATTCTGCCTTCAGCTCACAATGCAAGGCTCTTCCCCCTGAATCCAACCTGCTGATTTGCCTAACCAGGCAAACAAACAAACGTGAAATGCATTTATTTACCACAAGGTTTATTCTCAATAGGCAAACAGAGAAAATTTATCTTTTTCCCCATGCACGTGCGCACGCACACACACACACAGAGTAAAATAAAAAACATGATGAGGAAGGACACATAGCCCTTTCCCACATAGCCTATTGGTCCTTCCTCATATGCATAACCAGTTGCAAAGCTGAAATTGTGCCCAGCCCTGTCATCATACCCTGGAGATTTCCCTGAAAAAAACGCAAAAATATTGTCACCTGCTGGGTCCTTACCGAGRAATTTCTGCCTCCATGTGTTACACTGCGAGGTTAAGTGCTGCTGCCACAACTCTTCCACTTGAGGGACGGATGCCCCCAAGGCAAATCCAAAGTGCTGCCCAAGCAGCAGGAATACTTTGCAAATACCTTGGAACTACATCAAAATTTTCTTGGGAGGGTGATCTGAAATTCAGTTTTCCTCATAAGCCCTGATGCTGATGGTGATTTATTTACCCACACACCTAAGGTGTTGGCAGAAGGAGCACAAAAACTCCCRGGAAGGCTTTGGGATCAGGAGCTGAAACTGCCTGCTTGCCACGCACACCTCAGCAGGGTTGATTTGCTGATGTTATTAACTGCAGATCAGCCCACCTGGAATATGTTTGCCATGTCCCTGGCTCTGCATTGAGTGCCCTTCTCCACTCTGAATCCTTCCCCTCCTTCGGGCTTCCAGTAAAGTCAGGCTTTGCTTTTAAGCTTCCAGGAAAATAATTACAGCTGGCAGCTATTTTTCCAGCGCTGCCTCGGAAGCCAAAAAAACAAAGACCAACTAAACAAAACTCAACTCAAGCATTACTCAACTTTTCTCAGAAACAGTTTGTTCCATAGATTACTTTTTTTTCCCTTGACAAGTGTGTTGGACTCCACCACTCTTTTCCTTGCTCTATGAACTTCATCGTCCTTCAAAGCAAAACAAACAAACAAAACCCAAAGTCTTACTCATAAAGAATGGATATTTGTAAAGGTTTTTTGACTCAGTCTCCTGGCCAGGAAAAGGACACCTGGGGCAGCCAAAGGATATGCTGAAATTGCCTCCCGCTTGCTCAGATGACTGTCTCAGCAGCTGATGACAAGCAGAAAAGAAATTTGCTCCCAGGATCTGCACTAAGCAGGATACACTTATTTAAATCCCCACAGTGTAAAATTCTCAAGGAGGCAACTCTAATCTCCTCCTGCATTTCTGCTGGTAGTTATTTTATTTTATTATACATTGATCTTCACATAACCAGCGCTTTCGCTTGCTCAAAACAGAGGAGACTCTGTGACTAATGCAGAATTTCATAGCTTCCCATACGCTCACTGCAATCCCTGATGGTTTGTGTCTTTTTTAGAAAATGTCTCTTATTTATGACATATTATGCCCAAACATATCAAACTATAGTCTGATACAACACTTCACCCTAATTCCTTCCATAGTACCTCTAAAACAAACAAATCTCTCCCACTGCATGGCTCTTCAGCACATCATTCTAGCACATTTGGGAAGAAAACAAGGGAAAAAATAGGTCTGAAGGAAAAAGCAGCAAACACCTTTCCCCAGCGCCCCTGCAAGCCGCCCCGAACRCGAGTGACTCGGTTGCTGCGAGCAGACACGGAGGACGCAGCGCTGCTTGGGTGGCTCCAAAGCCCGTGCCAGATGCCTTCGCCTCCACGCATGCATGGGAAGGCGATGGAGCCTCCTGCAGATGAGTCACCACTGTCACAGCAGCAYGTGCTCTCAGCACACGCAGCAGCAGGGGCTCCAATGGGCCCATTTGCAGGTTTACAAGAAAACGCAAGAGCTAAGGGCAGGTCCACAAGCCCTCATGGGCCTACACACRCTTTCTACCATCAGGCATCATTACCACATGAGATGTCTGTGTGTTTGTGATACAAACACACATACACACCTCTATGTTCATGGGTGTGCATCTGTGCATGCATATAAAATACATATATACATATAATTATACACGCACACACATATACATAYATATGCTTAGAGGTTTGCATGTCTCATTCTGTATTTTTCCTTGCACTTCAGGATTAATAAAAAGATCCAGCACCCAGAAGAGGCACAAGCCCAGCGCTGGAAATCCCACATGGGTTCTTGGCACACGAGCAAAGGTGACCTCAGCCAGGCCTGGCCATGGTTAAAGCCTTGGAGGTGACAAGGATCSTGTTCAGAGTCTGCAGGACCATCGCTTATCCGCAGCAGCATTTCAACTGGCTGGGTGTTATGAAGCCTTTCTGCTTAGAGAGCTGCTGGCTCATCCTTTCCGTTATTTTGTTGTCCTTAACTGAGGGAGGAATCCAAGTGGCATAGAACAGGAAAACCCAGCAGTACTTTACCCCTGAAAGTTAGTTTGGAGCAAGTATCCTGTTTTTTGCAATGCACAGGGAAAAAAGGCAGGAAACTTGGGAGGAAAAAAAAACTATTTGCAGACTTCAGAGAAAAAAAAAAGAAGAGCACAATCTCAGAACTGAGACAACTCTCCTGCTTAAAGAAAGATTTTAAGAAAATCTAAAACTTTGTTGCAAAAACAAATCATTAACAGGGAAAGAGGAAATTAGTTCTCACAGCAGCAAGCGCTCCCATGGCACAATGCACAAGGAACAGGGGTGCAAGTAGCACTGGAGAACTACAGTTTATAACACAGTCAGCCCCTTGCAGATGAAGATTGGTCATCCCTCGAGAGGACGCAAACACACAAGCACCCTGCTTTTTCTCAGCAGAAGACTATGATATGCTGTAAAAGAAGGGCAGGGTAGGTGCAACTTAGCATCCAGGAATGCATAAATGGCAAAAATTCCCTCTCTCAAGGAACATTTTGCTCCCCAATGCAAAGTGCAATTGAAGATGAATTAGGTAACTAAATGGAGCAAGTCAACGTGGCACAGGCTTTCTGCTGAAGGTCAGGGCAATGCCTCACATGCTGATATCCCATCTCATGTCATGCTTCCTTCCATCAGTGTAATACAATTAGTAACAGAAAGAGAAGATTGCAAAAAAAAAAAAAAAGAAAAACACACACAAACAAAATGAGTAAGGAAAGGGCATGAGTGCTGACAAAAACCACCCAAAATAAAGAAACTATTCTGACTTAAAAGCTTACAACTAGAGTCAGAAGACTTATTCCCACGACCAGTGTTTGCAAGGTCAGCCTCTGCCCCTTCTTTCCCAGTAGTCTCCAAATGCCCTGATCAAACCACTGATTTCTTGCACAAAGTCCTCCATCCAGGTCAAATGACACTCATCCTCATGATCCCTAGACAACTATGATCTAGGCTGGACTATTTTCCCACCTAGAAATGAGGACAGGAAGGATCAATACAACATTTGAAGCAAAAATCACTGCAGCTCCTAAGTGCAAAAGTTAAAACCTTTTGGGCTGATCTCTAATATTGAAGGGTCACAAGGAAAAAAAAAAAAAAAAAAAGACCAAACTTAGACCAGATCCTCTCCTCCCTGGCCTGCAGCATGAGGCAATGGCCAAATCTCTTGGCTCGGCCAAGCCCAATTACTTCTTGTCTGTTGGAGGATGGTGCYCAGCCAAGTGCAGTCTCATCCCCACCTCATGCTCCGAGCTGRGGTGTCACTCGTGTGACCAGCCCCAGACCCAGCTTGAGGCAGGGCACAAGCACCCCTCCTCAGAGCCCCTGCCTGAGGCCAGGTTTGTATCCCCCGTTTCCACCTCTAGCAACAACACCAAGACAGTTTTTCAGCCTTATATTTTTCTTCCCAAGCATCTGTGATAATGGTTGTTAATGCTGATGTAAAGCCACCAGAAGCACTTCTAAAATGCCTGACAATGTTAAAACCACTGTCTCTAAACACACAAAAGCTAAATCTTTGAGTTACTAAGCTCAAAAATAAAGTTCCCAGCTCCCAAGTTCTGGCCTCAGGGTACTGAATGCACAAACAGGCTAAGCCTCATCTACATTGGTATTTGCATAATTCAGCTATATGTAAGCAAATTAACATATCCATAATATTTGATTGTACTTCTGTCTTCCATGACCAACGAGTCAGAATTGCTTGTTTATAGTCATTAGCAATAAAAACCTGCTATCAATAAGCACTGTCTTCGTTGAGCAATAGCAGGGAGAGACTGGCTATAATAGTCACAGGGAAACAACCAGGGACACGCTAAGCTCAGGATGGCACTGGCAGTGCTGATGCACAGCATGCTGTAACCTCAAAATCGCCACAACTACTGGTGATACTACAACTTCTGTACTACTACAGAGAAGAAAGTAATAGGAAACACTCTTCTTCATAACTGTGGGCTTAAAAATAGCATTTGAAAACCAAATCTGTTATAAGAACAGAATTAAGGTTTGACTTGGTGGAAGGATTTAGCAAAATAATCCAGATTTCACTACAAAAAAAAAAAAAAAAAAAAAAACACATTGCAAAGCTGAGAAAAGCAGTCTGACTGCTTGGAGTTAACCTCAAGGCCCGATAACCTCAAGGCACAAAATGATCACAGTCCTACTACGCTACGTCCCACAAAGATAAGGTTCCTCCAAAAGGGATCTTCCTCTCACTTTSTAAGGCACCTCAGAGTGCCAGTTTTCATCAACTTTAAACTTTGTCCTAGGGCACCGCCCAT